GTTGGTAGGAAATTTTTAATCTTTCTCAGGTGGTGGCCGAAGCTTACTCTTATCGGTTTTGGACCACCAATGGATCTTTACGCGCAACTTGCACACGAGACCTCCAAGGCTTTTCGCCCTTGTCCGAGAAGGCTAGGTGTAGATCTTACCTACAAGGTCTGTCTCAGAATAAAATTTCCCTGTCATGCTGTCCTCACATAATTATAAATCACCTTGTATCTGGTATCAACAGAAAGCTTATTCAAATATCCATTCAACGTAGGAACCATTAAGTTCAAGATATGTCCCCATTTGATGTACCCAGCGGTTAAAAACAGTGGTAAGTGATCGCTTGTCCAAGGTCCCGAGTACGTTTCTTATAGCCTCTTGAATCTGGTCCTTGTCCTCAAATCGCCGACCTCGCAGGATTACTTTCACCTTGGGGAAAAGCTGGAAGTTGCATGGGGGCGAGATCGGGCGAATAGGGCGGGTGTTCCAATAATTCCCACGAGTAGCCCTCAAGAGGCTCGTTCACAGCACTGGATTTGGGAACAGGGGCGTTGTGATGATTCAGGGTGACGCCTTCTTCAAGCAAAGCGGGTCTTTTTTGCGGATCGCAGGTCTGAGCTTTTCGTATGAGGACAAACTTGTAGTAGTCACCATTGACAGTTACGCCAGGTGTGACTAGCCAGCTCAGTGTGATGCCACTCATGTCGAAAAGCCCAATGTGCATCACCGTTCTCTCCCTGTGTTTTCTGTGTGCCCTTCATCTTTCATGTCAGACCTCCCATCTTCAACCTCCCTAATCCATTTCCTTACAGTTTGAATTGATGGGACATAATTCCCTATTACTTTGTGTACATCAGCATGGGTTTCAACTGCGGACTTGCCGAGAAGAGTTCAAAATTTGATCACTTCTCGGACATTGAAGTATGACAAGTTTGCACCTATTTGCTTAGCCATTTTCCTCGAATTCGCCTACGACAGAGTGCACAAGGACACCACACTTGACACGTCACCTCACAGCTCTATGACCCGTTCACCAATGCACTTGCAATTTGGTGTTGCGATTTCTTAGACATGATGTCATGACGTCACAAAATTTAGCGGCTGTTGGTTGCGTACTTTTGATTTTATGGAGGAGGGAAACTTTATTCTGAGACAGACCTCGTACCATAAGATCAGGGGTGTGGCTGAAAGACAGCAGTAAGAAGAAGCCAAGGAGTAGCAGTAGGAAGGCTGCAGAAAGAGTCAGAAGCCCAGAGGACGGGCAAAAGGGGTGAGGGGTGTGGGGAAGAAAGTGGAGACGAAAGCAGACGACATACAATTGTTAGAGAGCAGGAAAGGATGTGAAAGGAGACAATTATAGAGAAGAAAATTTTCCATCGCTCTCCGGATTCGAACCCGGGACCTATTGAAT